CTATTTCTAGTAAGAACTTGAACATTCGCCAAAGTACATGATAGTTCTAGAAACGTTGCATCACAGTAGTCATGTGACTCGATGACACAACAGTACCATGTTTTACATTTACCCAACATAATGAATTAGCTTTATATAGAATCCATCAAGATACTGTTACATTCAACTATCACCTTTCCATTTCAGAAATGAAGATGTGTGGAATGTTTCATGGCAAGAGTACATGGTACTGAGTATTAGGGAAGAGTGGTCAAGGAAAAGCTTAGCCAACAGAAGAAACATTTACATACCAAATAGTTGGCCTAGGGACAGCATATATCTAATATTCATAGTACATTAAACAGGATTGCAGTTTAGATAAATCTCTTCATTGGATAAAAGTGAGGATTTACCTTTAATCACTATTGTTAATTACCCAGGATGATAGTTTGATTACATTTCTGTTAGATTGCAGTTGGAAATGAGTGACAGGCCTCCCAGTGGGCCACTACAAAAATGTTTTTTTTCTACAAATATAATGCAAATTATGGCTTTCAAAAGCCAAAAATGTGGATCTGAATATTTATAAATAGTTTATATTTAACTAATATTAATAAAAGTGAATTTCTATACCCAACTGTAAAATTTCCATAATGAAATCCATTACTTTGTATGTAATTAAAGAAATTTTAACCATGCAAGCTCGGATAACGATGTCAAAATGATGTCCCCACGTCAAAAATGCTGAAAATTCATTATATTTCCATGCATCTGTATTAGATAATTACAGTAATATCATGACCAAAGGATCAGAAATTTATATTTATAGGTTTTTTAATAGGTTTCCTGGGGAGCCCTGGAGTGAGGAGGTACCCCTAGTTACTATTATAATTTACCCAGGATGATAGTTCGACAATGATTCTGTCAGATTGTGGTTGTATACAAATGAGGAGATATCTCTAGTTACAATTAAAATTTATACAGGATGATAGTTCAACAACATTTCTGTCACACTGTAATTGTATACAATAAGGAAGTATCTTTTGTTACTGTTATATTTTAACCAGGATGACAGTTCAACCAAATTTCTGTCAGACTGCACGTAGAAAAATATACTTTTACTGAATGGGGTGGAACTGGTATCAATGTAAGAAAAGTGAATTAAATAAACAGAACAATGTGATGCTCGACTGGTGGGACAAACCTTCTTCTTATGTTACATGATGAAGGATAAACTCAAAAGTAAGTAATTGGAAAACTGTACAATAAATGAGGACTTTTGTAAATTTGGTATTAAGAACCAAGAGTGATTATGCAAATAAGTGTAAGCGTAAACATTCAGCAACTGAGGATGTTAAATAACCCCACTGAAATTCATTAGCTACATTGTGTGTCACCCCACACCAGAGAACTAGTATGATTACATTAAAAAAGGAAAATATAATTATTGTTGCTAAACTATGTTGAGATAGTTAGCACAAATAGTCAACCAAACTGAGTTAGTTAGTCAGGAGTTAGCACCCAGCCTGAAACACTCACCACTATGGACTTAGATTAATATACTTAATATATTAGAACCTGAAATTTAAGTTAAAGAATCATTTCAGTAGAGAAATTATGTTAAATAACAAAGTTAATTCATTGAAGTACTAAATTAAATCAGAATCCTCTATCTTGAAAGTTATATATATATATATATATATATAT